CCAGGGCTCTCATTTACAGAGACCTCAATGGAAACAGACTGTTCTGAAGTCATGGGGTCCACAGTCTGAACATTGGCGTAAGGTGCATTCTCTACAATTTGTCCTGGAAGTCGGTCACAAAATTTTGAGCCTAGCTGGGGTTTGCTGTAAGAGCTGCTTAAGAAAGCTGAAGGTCATCTCCTTTGGTAGACTTGAAGTGATACAGTCATCTTAGGAATTATTTTCAAAAACCATTTATCTAATCAATAAACACAGCCCTTAGCTTAGGAATTTACACCTAGCAGGTACTTACTACTACGTGCTTACTGAATGGATGAACTAATGAGCCTTGACGTAAAGGAGTGAGCAGTTAAATTCATTGCAAAATGGAGAATATTCTGGAAAGCATGCACAGCAGGCTAATAAACTAAGACAACTGGATTGATCCAGTCTGGATTAAAGTAGATGGGTTAAAATGGGCCTCCCTTCTCTAATTGCTGCATTTTTTTTTTAATCATAGCTACATATGGTATGTAGCCATTCCTACCTCTGTATGTTTAACCACTCCCACACATCTTACTGATACTCTAAGCATTTTATCTATTTTATCGATTACTCCCATTTTTAAGAAGATTTTATTTATTTATTTGAGAGAGAGAGCATGAGCAGCCGGGAGGGGCACAGGGAGAGGGAGAAGCAGATTCCCCCCTGAGCAGGGAGCCCAATCAGGGGTTGGATCCCAGGACTCTGAGATCATGACCTGAGCTGACGGCAGATGTTTAACTGACGGAGCCATGCAGGCACCCCTATCTATTATTACTATTATTAATCATTGCATGCTGGATTGCTCTGCAGATGTATATTCTAATCATAATAAAAGTAGGAATAATAATAATAATAATGACTATTTCTACTACATGCAAGACATTATGCTTGTTGCCTTATACACATCTTCCATAATTTTCATGTGTTAGGTAAAATTCAGATAATAATTTTACTGTATAATTAAGATATTCTAAATCCATCCAAGGCCATCTGGCTAAATAGTGCATGAATGAGAAGTCCCACCTAGATCTTCCCACTACTTGCTTTTCCAATCTGACCAGGATGACTGTTAATAAGCATAAGAATGTTGAAGGCACTCGGTATAATTATCTAATTTACCGTGTATGGCAGTAGCTTCCAAAGGACATGAACCTGGCCTTGGAGAATGAGGAGGAAGTAGTCACTGCATACTTCACATCAGAAGTAATAAATACACCATCAGTCATGTAAGCATCAGTTACACAACACTATCAGTTTATAATTTTCTTGATCTCTCTAGCTACAGAGCTCTCTCTTTCCTGGGAAGCTCGCTAGAATGTTCTGGAAAGCATGCACATGATTTGCAGCCTGATTTTTCTAAAACCCCAATCAGACCCCGCCACTTCCCAGTTTAACACCAGATTTGACGCTGTATCTCCTCTACCAAGAAGAGCATGGTCTCTAGATGGCCTTCCAGTCCCTTTCCATTCTAATTTCAACCCATCTGGCCAGCTGCAGGTCTGGCCACTGCTCCCGAACTGCCAATACTGAAGCGTGGTGAGTCAACTAGAAATTTCAGAGTATCCCACTCCTTTTCTTCTGCACATTTTTCTTTCTGCCTGAAATGTCCACGAGGATCTCTTATTCATGTTATCTTATGGCTCATAGAATTTTTCCAAGGCCCACCAAGACAGCACATATATATTTTTCTCCATACCCAGTGTCTGGCACGTAGTAGGTTTCAGTAAATATTTGCTCTGGATTAGTTCAAGGTAAAAAAAAAAAAAAAAAAAAAAAAAGGAATTACATTTTCTGGGAAAACTCCCTGAAGTCCAGGAAATTTGTTTATTCCTGTATGCTCCCTTGATATTCTAATTGCCACATTGTTATGCAATGAAATGATGTATTTCCATGCCTTCTCTGGGGCTAGACTCTGAGCTCCTGGGTGGCAGAGACCAAATCTTACTCATATGTGGGTCCTTAACAACCAGCACAGGGCCTGGCTTATAGTAAGTCTGCATAGATTTCCTGGAATTGAAAATATAATTCTAAAGCAATCACGTGAGCTGAGCAGGGCGGGTGTTACGCTTCTCATTTTACAGTTGAAGAAACAGGGACCCAGGGAGGAAAAAGTCTTGACTCAATTTTCATTTGAAATCAGAGGCCCAGATGGGACTGGGACAATGCTCCCAGCCCCTAGTTATAATAAAGCAGTCTTGGTGGCCACTGTCACAGAGGAGGCCAGTGTCTTTCTGACCCATCTGCAGAGGCTGCTTCAGGTCTGCTCCTGAGATGGACACGAACACTTGAGTGTCTTCAGGCGACAGAACTGGATTAAAGGACTCTGCTTGGCAGTCACGGTGATAGTCTGCGGGAACTCATGAACTCCCATGGGGCCAGGGACAGAGTCCCAGGTAGGTTTTTGAAAGCACTACGATGATGAGAAGTGCCAGGACCCACAAAGCCATTTCCTGACCTTCTTTTCAAACTCTGGCCCCGTGGTGGCCTTCTATATACTCCTCAATGTCCTCTCTGGCCAACTTCCAGGAACTTCTTATCTCTAGAGTAACTCAGCTGCACATAATTATAATAGGTCCCCTTTCTACTCAAAACAGTCCTACCGTGGACAATAAATTGTATGGTCCCCTGTCCCTCCTGTATTAGAAAATATGCATACATCCATATAGAAGCTCAGAGGACTCCAAGAATCTTTTAAATCACCTTTCCCAGTCCCTTGCTTTTTTCTTTCCTTATTTTCTGCTTCTTTCTTTCCTTTCTTTCTTTTTCTTTTTTTTTTTTTTTGGATGTTCATCCCCAACTACATTGCTTCTGGTTTCCCAAGATATACTAGTTTCAGGCCTTGAAACCCAAGCCTCTGGAGGAGTTCAAGACCTTGGCCTGGGGTGCTTCTGCCCAAACCAGAGGACTGGAGCCTCCCTAGAAAGTTGAGAAAAATTGACCAGAAGGGGCGGCCTGTGAAACTGCACCTGATTCTCAACGTTGAATGCGTTTGTTGTACTTGTGTGCACCGGGGTGGGGGAACGGAACGGGGGTGGATAACGGAAGAGATCTGGCACAGCCCCGCGCTTGGTGGGAGCCAAGAGCACTTGAAAGCGTGCATGCAGGTGTCTGTTTCACTGGACCACCAAGGTCCTCTGGGCACTGCCCTGACAGGAGAAGAATTAGTGATTAAATTCGGTCTGAGTCAAAGGTGTCTTCAAGCTGAAAACACCCAAAGCCCCGATGGTGGAGAGTGGAGGGGTAGGGAGGTGGTAACAGGAGGGCGATATCAACCCAAAGCAAGCAACTGTTTTCTTTTTAAACGGGGACGTGAGTGTTGGGGAAAGATAATGAAACTACTTTCTGAAACTACAGGCAGCACCGCGGATGCAAGGGATCACCAGCAGGGAAAGGCTCCTGGCTCCGAGCAGCATCAGAAGCGCAGTGGCCCGATGCTCTCAGGATGCCCGGCTTTCCGGGGAAACGCGCCAGGAAGAGGAACTAGGTACCCAGAAGTACGCTGAGCACCGATGGAGCCGCTCCGGGGAGACGCGTGGACAGCTGCGGCCCCGCCACTCCGGCTCAGCCGCTGTGGCCGGGAGCGCAGTCTAAGGCCTGCGGAGGTGCCGCGACCCTCGCTCCCGGTCGCGGGTGAGCTCTCTCCCAGCCCCGGGCCGCGGAAGGATATTGCGCGGCTGCCGAGCCCGGGAGCCGTGAGGCCGGCGTCCGCGCCCGCTCCGGGGCCGGGAGCTGCTAAGGCAGTGGCAGCGGCCGGCGGGCGCGGGGGAGCAGCCTGAGGACTGGCAGCGGCGGGGCTGATTGATGGCCGCCCGACTCAATGAGGGGGGCCCGGGCGGGGGTGGGGCGGGGCCGGCCCTGGGCTGAGCCAGTCGCGGGTGCCGCGGGGGGGGGCGGAGGCTCCGTGGAAATGTGTCGGTGACATTGAATGGGGAGACTGAGCGCGAGCGAGGCGCGCGCGCGCACACACGCGCACACAGGGCCCCGCTCGCTCCGAGATCCCCGGCCACGTAAGTAACTATTAATACCGCCTCGCCGGGAGTTGCGGGCGTACTGAGCTCGGGGATTGGCCTCGGGCACCGTCGGCCATCCCCTTCAATTTTAAATACACATTCTTCTTACCTCTGGGGAAGAAAGAAAGAAAAAAAAAAAAGACGAAGAAGAAAAGCCATCAATTTTCTCCAAAACAAACCCCACCGGGCAATTTAGGTTTAGGGTCGGGGGAGACGGAGTGGTTGTAAATTATTCCAAGGCAAGATCCAGTTATCCAGCGGGAAAGGAACGTCGCAGGTTGGCTGGGGGCTCATCCCCTTCCAGCGCCCGGAGGAACCCCCACCCCCCCGGAAGCTCGTGCCGGGGGCATCGGAGACCACGGATCTACCTTCGTCCCTGGCCGCAGTTCTCGCTTTATTCGGAGGACGATCTGGAGCACGAGCGAGCAGCGGCAGCATGAGCCTGTGCTGATCTCCGCCCGGCGGGCCAACCTGGGCTTTGTCGCGGTACCTGCGCCAGGCCCGCGCCGCAACTCTGTGCCCAGCTTTTGCAATCTTTTGTTGGCAGCGCTGACCGCTCTAAGTTAAATGCTCCCTTGCTATTCTTCCCCCCCCCCTTTTTTTTTGTCTGTTTGTTTAAATTTTGGAGAGCTCTTGCGATCCTTGGAAAAGCCTCAGACGCCATCTACAGTTAAAACGTAGGTAACTACCCTCTCCGGCGTCCCCCCGCTTCCACGCCCCCCACCCTTTCCACCAAAAAAGGGGGTGCAGCGCGGATTCTGTCTGCGGTGCGGCGCGAGCCGGTAGCCCCGTGCTTATTTCCTTTTCCTTTTTGTTTGGTTTCTAACGCGTGGAGACCGAGCTGCGGCCGCGCGCGGCTCGAAGATCGCGTAAACTACAGCAGGGCTCCCCCGCCCCGTCTGCGATTCGCAAGCCTGCGTGGGGAATCGCTTCGGGAGACCTGGCGCTGCAGCTCCCCACCTTAGCAATCTGGTCGCTCGTCTAGATCCGCGCTGGAAAGAGAGAAAGAAAGAGAGAGAAACTAAAAGTGCGGAGATTCTGCAAATCGCCGGCTGCTTTGGGGTAACAAAAGGACCCGAATTACTGCCGACTGAGCACCCCCGGGATCCGGGCTCGGAGCCGACAAGGTGCCTGGCGGCGCCCATCTGGGGGCTTCCAACTCTTTTCTCTACGTAGCCCCCTTCCCGTCCCCTCCCCTCTCGTTCCGTTTTAAAATCCGTGGCACGGAGGCGCCTGCAGCCGCGCTCGCCGGCGACTCATCTCTCCAGCGGGTTTTTTGTTTGCCGAGTGCGATCCCCACACTCATGAACATACACAGGTCTACCCCCATCACAATAGCAAGATATGGGAGATCGCGGAACAAAACCCAGGATTTCGAAGAGTTGTCGTCTATAAGGTCCGCCGAACCCAGCCAGAGTTTCAGCCCGAACCTCGGCTCCCCGAGCCCGCCCGAGACTCCGAACTTGTCGCATTGCGTTTCTTGCATCGGGAAATACTTATTGTTGGAACCTCTGGAGGGAGACCACGTTTTTCGTGCCGTGCATCTGCACAGTGGGGAGGAGCTGGTGTGCAAGGTAAAGAGCCCGGGGCTTGTTTTCGCTTTTTGTCTTTTAAAAAGGTTTCCCCGGCCGGCCGTTTGGAGGGGGCGGGAGGTCGCCAAGCTCCGGAGCCTGGAGGAGGGAGACTCGCGGGATAATTATCTGTGGCCTCGTTAAATGGGTTTATTTATTTGTTCACGTTCGACTAGTTGCGAAGTTTTTAGTGCGTTGCAGACAATGGGGCGGGCTGCGGCGGGGGCGTTTCGGGGAGAGCCTGGGGTTGGGAAGGGCGGCGGGACTGCGCGGGGGCCAAGCACACGCGTTCTCCCAAAGGCTCGTGGAGCGCCTCCGCTCAGGGCCGGGTTCCGCTGCCCGAGGGGTTTCTCCTTGGGTCTAGCCAGCCCCCTCCTCTTCCACCGTGGAGTAGGGAATCCCCCGCTAATTTTAAGGCACTGATGACTGGGTTCCTTTCGCAGCCATTGTTCTTAGAAGCGTGCAGGTGTTAAACCTTTGTTCAGAAGGTGCCCTTTAAAAGAGACACACAAAGGTGTCCCCTCTGGCAGAGCCAGGGGCCCAGCGCGGGGAAGGAGTTTACAAAGAGCTCTCTGCTGCCTGCAGCCTTGAAAGGAGGTTTGGGGGTGGAAATCAAAGCCACAGGCGCACCTTTGGGTGTAGGAAAGAGTGAGTCCTCTGGGTCCTCCTCTCTTGTCTCGTTTCTTCTCATCTCCAGACTTCCGTGCCTGAACACCCCCTCTCGTGCCCCCCACCCCCAGCACACACCTTTGCCAGGATGGTTTATAGGCCAGCGTTTGGAGCCCCAGGGATTATACAGAGATGGACACTTCAGTTTCCTTTTTGTCTTTGACCCCCAACAGGGACTGGTGTGTCTGTGTGTCTTTGTGTGTGCGCACTCCAGATGAGGGGATGAGAAGGGGAACAGTGGGAAAAAAAAAGAAAGAAAAAGGATAGAGTAGAGCATACTGCTCCCCAGACATTGGTCATAGATCAAGAATTCATTATCAGTTAATTTTACATTTGGTCACTCTTGGTTTTTCTTGGAGGGGGGGGTTCAGGGGGTAGTGAGGAGTGAGGAGCCCCGCACAGCTATGCTACAAATAATACATTGCACTTTTACCATTAACCACAGATTGCTTTATTTTGTAGGGGGCTGGAGTCTTTCATTGTAAATAATGTGTTTTGTGGAGGTCTTCAGTCAGTTTCGCAATTCCTCAGTTCAGATCTTAGGGGAAAATCAGAGGCTCTTTAAATACAGCCCTCCACTTCTCCGGAGCATTTGGTATTTTGCATCTTCTCCTAAGTTACTGAGACCCTGAGCGAGCGACTGTGCCCGGTTAACCAAAATTCAGCAGGCTATTTCGAGCTGGATTGAGTTCTCCAAAGACCTAGAAGGTTGCACAATAGGGGAGTCATCCTTTGAAATGAATGAATTCCACAGAGCTGCTACTCTCCTATGATATACGCACAGTCCCCCAGCAGTGAGTGTGTTCCCTCCTTTTGCTTAACTTGGGTATAGCATTTTAGTATTTCTCCAAGGCTGGAGACGCTTTTAAGTAGAGGGACTCTGCCTTCACATTCTGCAGGAGCATCTTACTGGTTTTTTTTTTTTTTTTTGTTTAAAGGCAGGGTGACCTGCCCTGGCTCTTTCTTTCTCCCTCCAGATTCTTCAAGACATATTTCACTTGGGGCTGACCTCACGGTGTCATTCGTAGACGTGCTCTTTGGCCTGAAACTGTACTTAATCTGCCGGTTTAGTTATTGCAAAGATTGAATCAGCCCCTCACCAATTACTGTGGGGCTGCCAGTGGGTTTAAGTGCAGTATCATTGTTCTGCTTGGCAGAGGTCATCCCTTTAAGACGCGGCGGCCTGTTTTCCTGCCTTTTTACCAGGGGTGACGTGGGTGGGTGACTTTGTATGCAGGCATAGCTGTGTATATCCTAGGAAGCTCCAAGGGGTTTTTATGAGGCTGCTTCCAGGAGCTTCCCTCAGATACACAGCGTGAACTCTTACTGCAAGGCACTGTGAAATCTACACGTTGAATCAAGTTCCTTTTGATGTCTCAGAATACAGAGCTCCTGTCTCCTAGCTCTGTGTTGACCCAAGGAAAAAGTCTTTGCAAAAACAGACCAAATGTAAAGATGCCATTCCTGTAGAGGACTGTAGAAGGGAATTCTACAGGACACTATTTGGGGTCATTTAACCAAGATAATCAAGCCTGTTCATTGTCTCCCCAAGCCCACTGTAAGCTAGGCCAATGAAGGAAGGCAGCTTTAGAGGGTCTTTACCTTATCCTTTTCATGAAAATGCTGGGAGCTACTGTGCCCATGGACATAATTACTATCTTGGCATAATGGGCACGTGGTTTTGCTTTTTGTTTTTTTTGTTTATTTTTTTGTTTTTGCAAATGCTACTAATGATGGCTTAATCTTACTACCTTATCTCAACTGCCAGATTATATTACTAAGGCTCCAAATTAAACATTTAAAAGAAGCTGGCAACCAGGCTAATGGCTTGATTTTGCATTTGAAGGTGATGGTTTAAATACCATTCCCACCCCATAAATGCCTGTTACAGCTGCTACTGAAAGTTTGGTACCTACCCTTTAGGGAGAACAGAAGTATTTGTTTAATTTTTCATACTCTGTCCACCATCTTGGAATTTGATCTCCTACAGAGGGTACTGGCTATTTCTTGAAGCTGCCATGAATTATTATTATTATTTTTTTTAATGTTTATGTCCATTCAGTTTTTCATCAGTGGGACAGAATAGCAGACTGAAGGTACTGAGTAAAAACCACCTTTTATTTTTTTTTAAACGCAACTTGAAGGAGGAAGTATATGATAAGTCATGGTAACTCCAGGAGCACTGGAGAGAGAGTCTGCAGCCTGGTGCTCCAGAACACATCACCCTCCTCCCCTGTTATATAACACAGCGTGTTGACATTAGCCACTGCAAAACGTTTATTACTCTCTGTGAAATTTTTGAGGCTTTCCTATGTTTCTGCTGCCCGCAGTCTGGGTGTTAGAGTTGACTCAGGCATTTCAGATTCCTAATTGAACGGACCTCTGAGGTCACGGCTCGTAGGTCATCATTTGACAGTATCACGGTGTGATTTGTGGTCTCCGGAGACGTTGAAGTATTCATTCTTAAATTCTAGGTTATAGTGGCAGCAGCTGTGCCGCCTTCCTGAGATGCCTCATTATGGTTCATTCACAACGTTACTTTGCTTCCTCGCCCTGGGTTAGCACCAGCCCTCCTGAGGTTCTTACTATCCTCGTTTGACTCACAGATATCTTCAGGCTTTTGAACCTGAGGGCGACTTCTCTTCAATCCTGGCTCTCAGATGGCAGCCTGCGTCCCTGGAAGGGTTTCCGAAGGCCTGTGAATACCTCGAAAATGAATCCAGTATTGTGCGTGCCTTGGAGAATGGGCATTGTCCTCGGAGAGGGGACAGAGCTTTTCTCAGGTTCCCACGTGGGATCCGGACCCAAAAAAGTCAACTGGGTTCGAAATCACATCTCCAGTTAGGAAGAGGAGGGAGGCCCAGGGACCCTGAGTGCTTTATCCATTTTATCCGGATTATTGGTGGCCACGCCAGGATTAGAGTCTCAGTTGGGCGATTTCTAGGCCAGGCTGCGAACTAAGGATGAGGGAGAGGATGTTCCAACTAACGACAAAGATTTAAGAAGCTAAATGGTGGTGCACGGGGACCATTTAAGTGTTTGTTGCTGGGGCATTCTTGGCCTGCAGGGCTTTCCAGCAAAGCACCTCGTGCCTGCCCCTCACTCATGCAGGCAACAGAAGAGAGTCATGTGCCTCCATTCCCAGGCAGAGAGTGAAACCACATTCCAAACCCAGGGATTTGTATTCCTGATTTAGTGGAGGTCTTGAAATGAATGAAAGCCTTTTTTCTTATAACCTCAAAGATTCTCTGCAGTGTTAATTCCTCTTAGGTTGGTTTCAAAAAGGTATTGAGGATGGATTTTCTCTTTAAATAACCCCACAATGAGGTGACATTTCGCAGGCTAATTTTGATTCATAGAAAATCATTGCATAACTGATTCATTGAGCTAGATAGCTGTGGAGGGAATCGAGAAACGTGTCTGCTTCCCTATTAAGGACCGCGTGCCCTATTCCTAGCTTTGCCGCTGGGGCTCCATTCGACTTGTTCTCTGAGCCTCGATATCCACATCTGTGAAATGAAGGTATTGAATTAGAGGACCGTAAGGCAAAGACTACGTATTTACTCTGTGAATTGCTAATATGTTGTGGAGTGCTATACGACACAATTGCTTACCATAAAATATGTTGTACACAGTTGCTGTAGTTGTATAGTGATGTCCGTCTCTGTTCTGTTTTGTTTTTTGGAAGGAAAACAAGGCTTTGTCTGTGTAGCTTGGGGTAGGTCACTTTTAGATTTTTCCTTAGTGTTTTTTATAAACAGGTGATGGGGGTAGACAGAAAAAAATAGTAAGACTTAACCATTTGTGTCCCATGTTACATCTTGCAAAGTGCTTTTGCCCCCACGTTGTCCTATAATCCCCCCGACGGTGTAAGTCAAGTGTCATTTGCCCATTTTACACAGGAAGACTTGGAAGCTCAGAGAGGTCAAGCAGCTTATCCAACATCACACAGCTGGGAGCAGGCAGGGCCAGTGTGGTCTGTGTCCCAAGTTCGGTCTTCCTTCTGTCTCCTCAGAAGCCTGTGCCATTCTGTGATTCGGTGGTTTAAGAGGCTCCCCTGACTCTCGGTCTTGTTGTGAATCCTGTCCTAGGTGTTCGATATAAGCTGCTACCAGGAGTCCCTGGCCCCGTGCTTTTGCCTGTCTGCCCACAGCAACATCAACCAAATCACCGAAATCATCCTGGGAGAGACCAAAGCCTATGTGTTCTTTGAGCGAAGCTATGGGGACATGCATTCGTTTGTCCGCACCTGTAAGAAGCTGAGGGAGGAGGAGGCAGCCAGACTGTTCTACCAGATCGCCTCGGCCGTGGCCCACTGCCACGATGGGGGGCTGGTGCTGCGGGATCTAAAGCTGCGGAAATTCATCTTTAAGGACGAAGAAAGGTGAGTGTCACTCATGTCCAGAGCTGGTACTCTGACGGGCTGCTCAGGAGCGGCTTGCTTGAGAGGTTGGAATGGACATTTTTTTGCTGCCTGCTGTCCAAGTGAGAAGGGGGGGTGGGAGGACAGAGGGAGGTGAATGCATTATTGTGATGTCTTAAGTGCCCTGGGAAACCAGGTTGCCGCTATTCCAGTGGTGTTAGTGGATGTCAGAGCTCGGGTGCCAGGATAGCCTGATTAGGGTTTTGTTTTGTTTTGTTTGTTTTCTTTGTGTTTGTTTGTTTGTTTGTTTGTTTGTTTGCTTGTTTGTTTTTTGTTTTTTTGGTGTCGTGAATTGTGAAGGTGGCTGTAAGCCGGTGTGACATTTTTAATATGAGTAAAGGCACAATTTTGCTTTGGAAATAATCCTACCTTGAGAACGCTCCGTGCCTGGCATCAGTCCTTTCTAATTCATTCGTTCATTCCTTCACTCAGTAGATGTTTCCGCAGCGTGTGAGTATGCACGGATAAACTGAGCGTGCTTTCCTCACAATTCTCAGTGCTGTGAATATCAGGGTGCATTAGCGAGTCAACTCACCTACAAAGGAATGTTCCAAGCCCTCAATGGAGATTATGTACGGGGTCAGATGGGACCTGGGGGCTGGGATGTCCACTCTACGTAGGACTTGGAAGTCAAGAAAGTATTTATAGAAGAGGTGTTTTGGACCTCTCTAGAAAGGTGAGTTTATTACGGACGATGTGGGAAGGACCGGTGTTGCAAGTAAGGGAGCTGCCAATACACGTACACAGTGATGTGAAGGTCTGTGTTATTGCAGGAGACAACAGGACAGGACGCTGGGCATCTGGGTTCCATTCATGGTTCTTCCGTTCACTCATGACATTCTGTTGAGCAAACCCACTGGGGCCTGCTTTCTCTTCCAGCTGACTTAGATTGTAAAACTCTTCCGAGCCACTCCTTTTCTTCTGAAGCATCTGCTTTTTTAGAGGCGTGGAGGCAAGTGATTTACATTCACTGCTGACTATTCCAAAAATTGTTCTAGAGTTTCTACCCACGTGGGTCGTGGAATTACCATGACGGCCTTGGGTATCCTCGGCTCCTCCTAGGAAAGTGGTTCGTGAAGTGGAGATCCGTGGTCACGAAGCTATTAAGGACCATCTGAGTGCAAAGCCAGTGCACGTCATTCATTCATTCACTCAACAGATATATCTGGAGTACTTTTTTTTTTTTTTTTAAATCTGGAGTATCTTTCATGTGTCTGGTGCAGATCTGACAATCAGCCCTTTCTGCCTGCCGGTTACCGTGCCGTGTAGCACAATGGCCTGGGATATTTTAGGCTATCGATTATTGTCCTGTAGAATGATATCCTATAGAATAGACATATAATGAGATCTTGTGGTGTCTGCTTTGTTTTTTGCTTTTGTTTTTGTTTTTTTGTTTGTTTTTTGTTTTTGTTTTTGTTTTTTTCATTTTATGGTTAATGCTAATTGGGAAGCGAATATCTGGGAAGCATTTGGGGATCAGCAAAGGTAAAGGGTCTGTGGTTACTTAACCCAAATGAAATAATTTGATGACAATTTATAATGCAACTGAGTATAGAAAGTGCAGAGAGCTGCTGGCTGCAGAGACTGGTTATGTTCCATATTTTTTTCTCATATACAAGTATCTTAGGCATCGTGACAGCTAATAGCCTGGTCTTTGATAGTGCATGGTTTGCATCCTTACTAATAAATGGAGAAGAGGGAGCTATTCTAAGATCTCGAGTGTGGGGTGACACCTTTTCTCTTCTTTGGCCCAGATGGACCTGCCCTTGGAGCCTGCAGACTCTGGTTATTATCCTGGTTTCACCTTTAATGCTCTCTATGACCTTTTAGTTTGGTTCCTTCCTCCTGGCCTCAAGTTTCTTTTCCCTGTATTGTCCTGGCTCTGTTTTATTGGTTCTGAGGTCTTCTGAGTTATAACATCAGCTGTGTGCTTCTTTGAAAATTCTCATTGGAAGTTAAATAGATACTTGACCCCCAGCAGAATACTGCCAAAGATGCTTTCTTTGTCCTTCTGCATTCCACCTTTCTTGGAAGTGTAATAACCATAACTACAAAAATATGAGGTGGTTGTTTGGGACCACTTTAAAGACCTAGTATGAGGTTATTGTTGACCTTACTTAATTCTCTCCGTGAATGGGGGTACGGTGGGTACCATCATTTCATTTGATGGAGGAAAACTTCAAAACCTCGTGTGAAGTCTTGAAGTTATAGACTAGAAAGAGCAGAAGTGAGGACATATTCTCTATTAAATCTGCTCTCAAGAAATTCATTTGCCTGCCACAGGGAATAAGGGCAACGAATGCCCTCTCTGGCAGGGATCCAAGTTTTTAAATGTCCCCTTTGATTGTGCTCTTTCGAGAGGAATTTCAGGCACCAGCGCATATACAGGGTGGTGTGTCCAGTGAGAGCACACGCATGGTAACTACGTGTTTATGAAGTGAGTCATAGTGGGGTGGTCATCTCTAGGTCACAGAACATGGGAGCACATGTGGACTCGAGGGTCTCCCGAGGGGCCATCCTTCAGGCCTCTCCTGTTGCTGCCTGGAATCAGAGCCCCAAGGTGAGAATGCCGGCCTCAGTGACCATAGCTGGCTGGAAGCAAGTAGGACTGAGTCACCCTCACATGTGCTATTGAAGGCCTTTTCCTCCAGGCCCGGCTTGTCCTTTAGGGGAAGTTAAGAGTGCCCAGGAGTGTATGGTGACAAAGCTGAAATCCTTGACGTCCCAGGGCCTAAGGAAGAAATCCCAAGACGTTGGAAGCTTCCAACACAAGGACATTGAGTTTGGAGCTGAGTTTGACTTTTGTAAAAGAGCATGACCCTTTCTAGAAAAATTTGGAAAGAAGTATCCCATGTGAATGTGAAACCAGAACACGTCACTGGAGTAAGCATGTCAAAGCGAATCCTTTTTAACTCTAGAGAGCATTATCTTCGGAAAAAGGAAGCGGCAGTGACAGGTCACCTGTCCCCGACCTGTCTGACAGGATCTGAGCCCATGCAGCCCTGCAGCAGGGAGAATGGTAGCTCCTCCTCTGCTGGGCAAGGTGATTGGGGTGCACAGGAGTTAAGTGACCTTGCTCAAGGTCATATAGCCAGCACGCTGCTGGAGCAGGCCTGGAAATCCTACCATTTCAGTCCAGAGCTCTTTCCCTGCCCCCACTGCGTTGAAGTCCTGGAGGACCTGGCCGTTCCCGGCATGACAAGTGTCTCTGTCTGGGCAGTTCTGAGAAGGTCACTCTCATGTTCAAGGACATTCCAAATGTTCTCATCAGTAGCTGATAAGAACTTTCTCTCCAGCCAGCTGTCAACTTTTTGTGAAAGAGGAATAATGCCTTGTAGCCTTCCTCCTTGTTTTGCTTTCCAATCTCTCAATTTCAGAGTAGGAGACTGGTTTTGTCACTCCGCGAATTTCTCCCTCTGCGTGTCCCTGTAGCTGTAGAGTTTTGTGGCAGTTTCTCCTTGTCGGTCTGCACAGTGGCCTGCGTGAAGCCAGCTGCCTGTGTTTTGAGGGGGACAGCAGCCTGGGGCCTCACAGGGCCCGTGCTGCTGGCAACCCTCACCATCCATCCTAACCAACATGACCTCCGCAGTAGGTGTTTCAATAGGACTAGAGTCTATGCCTCTCCTGACAACACCCAGCGTGTGAGAAAACAATGGGATTAAATTGAAAGGCTTTTGAAACATTGAAGGATGGGGACTGTGTCTGTTTTCTGGTCCTTTACACATTGGTCCTTTGGGGGGAATAACACAGAATAGGCTTTTGGAAGTACTACTTTATTAAGCTTCAAATCAGCAGGCCCCTTCTCTTGTGCATGGTCTTCTCTCTCTCAAGGATGTGCCTCTTACTGTCTGATGCTCTTGCAAGAGACTGAAGGGGAAAGCATTACAGAGTGAAGTCGGCTAAGCCCCACTGGGTTCAGAACGGGGCCGGCCTGTGTGCTAACTCCTTACGTGTGGATCTCCAATGCTGGACCATCTGTAACTGAACCCATGACCACCCATGAACATGTTCTTGGTAGAATGGTCAGGGCCATCAGTCCAGTTCCCCCCAAGCGCCTGTGAAGACGTGATACACGCATGACACCCATGTTACATGAAGGCCTGCTGTCAACGTGCCTTCTATTGCTAATTTTTGTTGAATTAGCAGCACCGCCGATTCCTTTGCTTCCGTTTTATTTCGACTTGGGTTCTAGATTCGGATTTTTTCTCTGCCCCTCATTAGCTACCTGGTCTTGGATGAGTCCTTTCATGCCTCTGAGCTGCACATTCCTCCCAGCAGAAATTAAGACTGCATCTCTGCGGGTGGCTGTGAAATGATCCAGATGTGTACGGGGTGGGGGAGGCGCTCACAGTAGCCAGCTGGTCCTAAAGTCATTCATAAAACGGTACCATTGTGGACAAGCCCTTCCCAGGGCACTTGAGGCTCATGGAGAATGAGCTCTGCCTCCCGGGCAGCCGTTTCACGAGGAGTGGACCTCTTGTGATGTGAGGGTTTCTCCTTTCTGGTTTAATTGCAATATTAGATCAGTGCTGGGAGGGTGATAGACTGGGCAAGTGCTGGGGGAACCTGCGGCTCAGAAAGGCCAGAAGGTCGACCAGATGTGCACCGGGGAAGGCAGATACCAGGTGCATGCAGAGAGTGAGCAACCCCACTCCCCAGGCCTGGACTGGCCACAGCGTTCCCAGCCTTGTGCTGCTGCTTCTCCTCCATCCCTGGGATGTTTCTGTAGGGCCAAACTAAGGTTGTTTTGTTTTCTTTTTGAGGCAGTTAAACCCCTCCCCAGATTGTACTCAGTGTGGACGCACCCTTTGCATCCACGGTTTCCGTGGTAAGATCAGAGGTGGCCTGTAGAGTAGGAGGGGCGTGGGTGGGAGGGGAACCTGAATCTGCTAGAGGGCAGTGCCCAGGTTCCCCAGCCTCTCCCCCTCCCTGTCGTGGTAATAGGCTGATCTGCCTGGGTG